AGATCAAACATTTTAGCTACTTTCATGAAGGCATACTTGTTAATTTCTAGGTCAGTATTACCAATTGCTATTTTCTTTTTCTTAAGACTAAAATCTCCCATAATGTGCTGGGAGTTAGGATATCAGTCTGTGTGATTTTAAAGGCACATTCTCTTGAGAGTTCAGTACCACTGAATTACTTTGTGTATGTGATGAAGACATCTTTTTACAAAACAGCTAACATCTGTATTTTTACTTTCAGACCTCTTAGGTCTGAATCTCAGCATTGATCAATATTAATTCAGGACCATGTATTTGATAGTCTGTGGTGTTGAACTGGAAACATCTTTACCACATATGAAATAGAAGTGCAATTTTTCTGGTGTATGGGTTCCCAGGAGAAGAGCTGAGCAATTGAAGAGCAGCTAAAAAAATCCCCGTTAAATATGAAAGAGTGTGCATAGCTTCACCTCTTCTCCTTTGCAGGCTCCACAAATGAGAGTAGAAGAAAAGAATCTCTTTCAGTCACTAACCCATAAGGACAGAGAAATGGGACTGTGCATTGGAGCTGACTGGTAGAGCAGACATGTTTAGACCTGGGTGCTTAAGGAGTGCGATTGTAACAAGCATGGACTCAAACCCCCAACAGTCTTGGCCTTTGAAATACGACAGAGAACATAGGCTCAACCACCAGGCTGTGGTAAGGAGATAGTTTAAAAGTTTAATTACAAAACAGATCTCTAGTCTTTGTACTGTCAGGTGATTACTCTGTTGTTTTCCCTACAACATGAGATGCTGATCCTCTGGAGAAAGCCAGGGGAAACTCCTGACTGTTGACACAGCTATTTTGTGGGCATAAAACCAGGGCCTTAACTAAGTCTGGATGCTGACCCCAGAGACCCTCAGGCCTTTTCCCTGTTTGGCTTGTTGAGGCCAGCAGTCAAGTAGGAATCCCTGCATCTCCTCAGCCATGGTAGGACCTGAATGGTGACTTCAATAGAGAAATAGATTAGCCCTACGATCTATTATTTAGAGATTCCCCAAAGGAAAAGACCAGCTCATCGCTTTGTCACCTCCCTGCAGCCCACTTTCCTTATTCACCAAACGGCATGCTGCAGTGAGTATAGCAGATAAGAACCCTCTATTCTGGGAAGGACAGAGTCAGTGACTGTGGCTGTCAGCACCCATGGCTGAGATTCCAGACAGAGGAGTAGAGAAAGTGGGAGAGGGCTCTTTTCTGCTGAGTGGTTGAGCAGGACCTCTATGAGGTGAGCTTAGAGCATTGGGAACAGTACATGGGTGAGGTACATGCTAATGGCGGCTGTTACAGGCAGTGGAGGAGGAGGAGCTGGTGTGTGGTGTGAACAGAGGTTGGTGTCGCTAGTTTTTGGTGGGGAGGAAATCAAAGAAGTGTGTGAGAAGCAAGTAGTGAAGGTCTGCAGGCCAGGGCGAGGACTTGAGTTACCCTGTGTGATGTCAGAAGGCCCTGCAGGGTTTGAGTGGAGAGATGACAATGTAATGAATGTTAAAAACAACTGACACTGGCTGCTCTGTGGACACCAAGCAGTAGGTGAGACAAGGCTGAAATGAGAGCAAGGAGAAAGCTTTTGCAGTTGTCCATGAGGATGTGGAGGAAGTAATAAGCTGTGGTTGGTTGTCTTGAGTAAGGAAGAGCATTTCCATTTTCAAAACACTGGAGGAAGGGGATGGAGCTTTTGTTTGTTATTTAGTTTGGATTGGGGAATGTATGGGTATGTGTGAGTCAAGTGCTATGAAGCCATTCTTGTCTACATATGTGGTGATTCCTTTAGCTTTACATGTGTAGTGTCTTATTCACAACATGAGTAGGCAGCCCAGGATTCCTGGGTTTTGAAGAAAGCCTCCCCTAGCTAGACAAAACCAACAAAAACAGAAGTGGAAATAATCCTATAAAGAGTGGAGTTGGGATAGAGTCAATACAACTAATAATCAAGATCCACGGAGTGAAGAAAGGATAATGAAAGATAACCTATGAAACAGAAACAGGATATCATAAAGAACAGTGATAGACTATCAGCATTATTGAAAATGAAAATATGCTAACTAAAGACTTTAAATAGCACAGCTGGAAGATGCAATAACCTCTGACAGAACCAAAACATAAGAAAATATTGGTAGGCCTAAGAGTCCTGTCATCTTCCAAAATGGCCCCTGAGGAGCAGGGGTGAATTAATTGCCTGGGGAGCCTGTCGCTATGGAGTGTAGGACTCCTGAGGTGAGGTCATAAAAGACGTTGCTGCTTGTGCCAGCTGCTGTGCCCTGCTCAGGTAGCCCCATGGAGAAGAAACGGCTTGCAGCATATCCTGCCAGCTATGTGTGGGTGCACCTGGGGAGAGGATCCTCCTGCGCTGGGAGCCTTCCAGTTTTCAGCAGAGCTCTGCGTGCAGCAGGGATGAGGTGCTCTTACCTGCTTCCAGAATTCCCTCTCCACAGAAATAAGTGGTCCACATCATAAACGCCTGCTAGCTTTTTACCCCTGGTGCTGGGGATGGAACTCTGGGCCTCATGGATTTCAGCCCTCTACCACTGAGCCACACCCAGCCTCTGGATTTAATTTTAAACCACTAACTTTTTCTGTGATTAGGATATATATTAGGCGATTAATACATTCACTAGTTCAGATTCTGAAAAAGCTGTAACAAATATTGAAAGGTGTGGGAGGAAATGACCAAAGGAAAAAATACAAGAAAATTTCCCAGAAATGAAGACACAACTCTTTAGAGATGAGTCTTTAGAGTCATATGAATTCAAATGTTAGATCCATTGTGAAGCATATTGAGTCATACATGTGTGAACTTGGTTAGCATTGCTCATAGTTAGGGGACCGTGGCATGTGCCTTCCAAGGTCTAGGAGAAAGTCACTTTCATTTCCCTAGAATCTTGTACCTGGTGAAAATGTCAGTTTAAGTGTGAGGGTAGATAGTGGAATTTTCAGTCATTCTTTGATCACACATATACACACACACGCATGCATACATGCACATGGTCTGCACAGCAGTCCAGACTAAGCAAGAAGTAAGGGAAGATGGAGTTGAGCTGGAGAGGTGGAGAAGGAATGGATGGAGATTTGATTGTTAGTAGGTGTAGGGCATACCTACACCTTTTGTACAAATAATTATATTGAAGACTATAGTTAATCTAAGTTTGATAAAACAATTCTTTCACTACTAAAGAAATATTTATGTTGTCCTAGTAATGTAAACTATTGATTTAAAAAAAAAACTATAGCATATATTGGGAGACTGGAGGAAAAGGCAGTGACCCAGTGGTGATTTAATTCCTCCATTCTCACGGTAAGAAGACAGTAGATAGTGTCTCATGTTAATGAAGTAAAAAATGTCAGAGCACTCATTACTTCAAAATACAGAAAAAAACACCAGAATAAACAGCTTAAGAGTTGAAATGTATCATTGTTGGCTTGGCTGATGAAGATGGCTTTGACATGGAACTTCTTGCTATTGCTATGAGCTTTTAAGTATTATGTCCATACTTAATAAAAACCTTAAAGCGACACTGGGAGGCTGAAGCAGGAGTATTGCCATAAGTTTGAGGCCAGCTTTTGCTACATAGCAAGACCTTGTCTTAAAAAAAATCCTTCAAAGCTTATGTCAATGTTAATAATAATTTGCCTCTCTTTACTTGTATTCTGTTTCATGGGTGGAAAAGCTATAAAAAGTAAAGTGACTTGTAACTTCAAGTTAGTGCAAAACCCAGGACTAACAATGAGTAATTTTCCCTTTTGGTGCAGACTCCAGTGATGACTATATAGTGTCTTTCATCCACTTCTGCCGTCATTTTTTTTTTAATATTTTGGAAATTGTTTCAAAAAATGTTGCTAAAACGTTGGTGAATGACCCTTTATTTTCTGTAGATGAGGAATAAAACTTTTTTCTTTTCTCATTGAGTTTATTGGTACATTTTAGGTATACAGTACAGTTACATTCACCATTGGGATCTTGTACCTTTACCTGACAGGTCTTGGTTCTCATTTTTCCCCTTCCCCTGCCCTCCTTCACCCCCTCCTCCCTTCCCTATTTACAAATACTTTATTTCCATTTTAGAGTAATAAAATTTTTTAAATTGCCAGTCCATCTTAATATATTTTCAGTGCTAAATAAAATGATGCAATCTGGGAAGTTGAGTTTTGTGTAAAGTTTTTCCATTAAAGTGATCTTATTTATATTAAAGCAACATAATAGAAACTGTTGCCTGTGCTCTTTAGTACATTTTCTTTAATAAGAAAATAAGCTGGGTTTGTGTAGTAAGTTCCAATTGTTTGTGTCTCCAAGATTCATTTAGCTCTTATTATAAGCATTAGTAATACAAAATTGGACCTGAGGACTTTATTACATAAGAGGAGGGACAAGTTTGTCACTCTTAGTTTCCTGCTTAGGTCTTGATAGCATGTGGAAAAGTGTTACTAAGAAATAAAATGTGTATTATTTTTAATTTTATTACTTTAGTGTAATACTTTTTCTAATTTTAGTTTTTCTTGTCATAAATAATTCATGGCCTAATACATTGAAATAAAGCAAAAATATGAATTACGTTATTAAATAAAGTGTGACAGTGTACTAGTGGGCTAGATAATAACAGCTGTCTGATATCTTCTGTGTTACCAAAATACAAAATACTGTAGTAAGTAAAATTAAACACTATCCAGTCATGCTCTGTGCACTGGCATTTTGGTCTCAGACCCCATGGACAGTAGTGGTCCCATATCACCTTATGGTACACCTTAATCTGTGTAAACATAGTCTAGATATTTACACAATGATGAAATCATCCAGTGACATACTGTTCAGAATGTGTCCCCACTGTTAAGTGATACCACGAATCTGAAAATCCTGGCATATGGCTATGAATTGTCTGTTTAATTTGGATGCCGTTTTTCTTATTTGACCCTGATTCAACAAATTAGAAGAAGACAGGAGTAAGTAATATGACAAAGCCTGACACTTCTCTTTTTGTGTTTGCTGAAGACCGGCACGCAACCTTTTAACCGTGCAATGCTTTTCAATGTGGGCTTCAAAGAAGCCATGAAGGACAGCATCTGGGACTGTGTGATCTTCCATGATGTGGATCATCTCCCTGAAAATGACCGGAACTACTATGGATGTGGAGAAATGCCACGTCACTTTGCAGCAAAGCTGGATAAATACATGTATATGTAAGTGTGCACTGTTCCCAACATCACATGATACACTTGTACAGTTGTGGCACTGAAATGGTGTAGCAGCAAAAGTGCCAAAATTCAGAGCAGGCAGGAGCCTAAAGAATATTGTGTGACTCCAGCCTGTTCTCCCAGGGAGCCAGAGCATAGAGTGGCTTGTCATGCGCTTCCTTACACAGAGGTTTGAATGTGGTGTGTGGAAAAGAGAGCCTGGTTTCCGTAGTCAGGCAGTGGAGATTTAAATTTAGTTCCTTACACTTGTAAAACTTGGTGAGTCCTGGGAGTTCTCCAGTTTGGTTTCTTCTGCATTGGAACAGTAGAGACCATATGGAGGGATGCGCTGGGGTATCACCTCCCTGAGCCATGGGTGTGTGATCAAGCTGACTTCTGCCTCCTGTCTCTCTGCTGATGGCTCTGGGCCATGATAACCTTTCTTCTCCAGTGTGTTTTCTCCTCAAACTCGATATTCTTGACCTGCTCCTTAATTATAAGGCACTGACATTTTTATTTTCTGACTGAAAAGATCTTGAATGTAAACAGTTATCAGAGCTGTGAGAGTAATTTAACTTGACATCAAAGAATGCAGGTTTAATCTGAGAAGATCACAAACTTTATTACCTAATGGAGGTAGAAGAACGTGGAAAGTGTTGCCTGGAGCAGGGAAGATGTTGGTATCACCACAGTTTTGGCTGGTGTCCAGAGCACAGAGTAGAGAGAGGCACAAAGTCTCAATGACACAAGTGCTGAATTGGCATTGAAACAAAAAATACTTTTTCATTTTTTCTTTCTTTCCTTTTATTTAGGGGGGGCTTAGCAAACCTTCTCCTCATTACCCCTTGTATGAACTCCCAAGTTCATACATCAAGGATCTTAACTAGTTCCTAGCACATTGGGAAACTTAACTTTGTTCAACCTGCTAGAATCAGATTAGATCTAGGATAACTGATTTTTCATTAAATGTACCATAAATAGTAAAGCTTATGCAAATAATTCAAAATTAACGAATAGAATATTCATACTCCCTTGAACCAGTCCTAGGATGAGTGGGCTGCATGGCAGGAGCATAGCTGAGAGAGCAGCCGCAGGTCCGTGGTGGGCTGTGTCATGCACAGCCTTCAGCTGTGGGATGAAGCCAGGGCTTGCATTGCTTCCCATTGTGGTGTTCACACTCTGATCCCTGCTGACCAGGAAACTTGGGCCCCTAGGTTTGGTATCTTCTTGCTTTGGACAGTGTAAGATAAACACTGGAAATTTTTACTCAGTTTTTCTTATTGTACCTTTATTTTATCTGATCTTTTCCCACTGTGTATATATATATAAGGTAGTTGGTTGTTGCTACTTAAGCTACAGCAAATAGAATTGATGTTGGCTGGTTTATACATCCAGTAAGAGCACGCACGTTTATTCATATCTGTTTACCTAGTGATGTTGGATTTTGCTAAACCACTAGCCTGGGCACAAATAATCCAGCTGGTGTGGGAAGTCCATCACTGCTAAGGACTCTGACTGGCCCTATAGGAACCTGTCAGCATTATCACTAGAAGCCCACGCTCTCAAGTGAGCCTTGTGGGGTCTCATGAGGTGGTTTGCTTGTCTTTAAGGTCAGTGTTACAGTTACTATCTTGGGATGTCCTTACCTCAGGGAAAGAGCAAAATTACTTTCTCCTGGAACCATGAGCTGGATTTGGGAGCTGCTTTCTCTGGTTCTGTGTGCCACACAAGATCCCTGCTGACAAATGGCTCTTGTTCCCCACGGCAGATGAGTTGAGTCCTGCAGGCATAATGGGAAATCTGCACCCTGCCTTTCTCCATGGCAGTTTTGCTCTGGTCCCAGCCAGATTTCCGTCATCTTGGTTTCGGGTGTTATGTATGCATAGTTACGTTTTCTTGGCTGGAGCTGCACATTGGCTGGACCCTTTCAGAGAACCTTTAGGATACACTATTCCCTTAAATCACATTATGTGCCATCGGAAGTGGTTCAGGATTGGAGGTTTCAGGATACTACCTTGACATGAGAAAACTAATCCATATCTAAACTAATTTAGATTATTAAAAATGTAGCTTAAAATATTAGTTTACCAATTCCTTGGAATATGAGTTAGGAAAGGGTAAGAAAAATTAATCCCAAATTTTAAAATGTGGTTATTTCTCTAAATATTAGTACATTAAAAACATATTTGTAAATATCCATGAGTGTTTTGTGAGTTTAATAGAAAGAGATAAGATCATTTTAGTTGGTGGCACATGCCTGCAACTTTTAGCACTCAACCTGGAAGGCTGAGGCAGGAAAATTGAGTTCAAGGCCAGCCTTGGCTACATAGACCACTTTTTAAGAAAGCAAAAAACAATAAAAAAATCATTATAAGAATAGGTAGCTAAGGGCCGGAGATGTAGCTCAGTGGTTCTGCCACCTACCTCGCAAGCACAAGGACCCGAGTTCAATCCCGTACTAAAACAAAAACATGAGAATAGGTAGCTAGTCATTTCAAAATTAAATTCAGTGGTTGTTCTAATATATATCTGTTCTGTTATTTTAATAAATAATGTGTTGATAAATAAGATTGGTTTTGAAAATATTAATTTAGCAAAATCCAACTGTGTTGACAGTTACTAATGTATTTAATTTAGATTGTTTTTTTTACAAGGATATTACACAATTTTTGGATACTGGGCTCTGAGTGTTATAAAGTGACAATATTAAATATCAAATTTCTTTTGCCACAAATGTTTTATTTTGTGTTTAGCATAACACATATACTTGTTTCACTAGAATGTAAAATATTTTGTTTCTTGGTTTACTTTACATTTCTAGAATACTATTTAATCAGTCTAATTGTTTGATTTCATATAGCAAACTGTTAGAATTTTGTTTATTGAATTCTGTGTCCTGCTTTCTTTTTCAGTCTTCCATATAAAGAGTTTTTTGGTGGTGTAAGTGGACTGACAGTGGAACAGTTTAGAAAGATAAATGGTTTCCCTAATGCTTTCTGGGGTTGGGGAGGAGAAGATGATGACCTTTGGAACAGGTATGTCAAGATACAAATTGCTTTAAAATAGAATTTCTAAACTTATTTTCTTTTGTTTAAATCATACTTAGCTATACCAAGAAAGGATTGTTTAGGATGGAAAACTTTTAAGTTCCTAAGTTCTATTTTAATTTCTCCCTTTCTCTCATGAAGAGTTTGTTTTGGAATTATTGGCAGCATACATGTTAGAGCATCCTTTTGCATCTTGAAATTGAACAAAAACACAATACATTTTTATGTATTTTTATGCTGTATTGTAGAGTTCACTATGCTGGATATAATGTAACCAGACCAGAGGGAGATTTAGGGAAATACAAGTCTATTCCTCATCATCATCGAGGGGAAGTCCAGTTTTTAGGACGGTAAGTTTAATGTCATTTTTAGATGCCAAGTCTTTTCAAAGGTGTTTACTATGTGGAACATTAGACATTTCACCCTGCTCTTGGCTTTAGTGCCATCTTCTTAGAAATCTCTGTGCCACAAAAGCCAAGGTGAGCTGTTTCTAACCGTGAGCTTGGGAGGTAGGAAGTAGTTGGTGAGAAAGTAAAAGATAGAACTGGAAACAGGGAAATAGATCTTTTGCAGATGGGAAAAGAACCAAGAGATGGAGGAAGAGGAGAAGGGGAAATAAAAAGAATTAAGTTGTGTTATGTACTGTACAAACACCCCACAGTGAATGTAATCATTATGTGCTGTAAACATGCACTAATAAAAAATTGCATCCCTCAAAAACTCTGCTGAAGAGGATTTTCTTTAGGGCAAGAACATTTTTGTGCTTGTTTTAAAAAGATATGTATATATACATACATATATATTTATGTTATTTAAAGAACCCAGTTAACTGTTCATTTTTTTTAAAGTTTCCTTAACATAAAACACAACACATTTTCTTTCTTTCTTTTTTTTTTTTGATACTGGGATTGAATTGAGGACCTTGCACTTGCAAGGCAGGTGGTGGAACCACTGAGCTAAATCCCCAGCAACACATTTTATTTCTTAAACCTGTCTAAGTTGTCAAAGTGTGAAATGATTTTTTTTAAGGTGGCATTGTTTGACTCGTAAAAATCCTATTTTGGAATTAATGATCTAGAGATTTTTTTATTATGCATAAGAATCTAAAATTCTACAGATCTTTAAATGCTTTAAGTATAAAATGTCCTATCTAGAACATATTTTGCATTGGTTTTCCTTTTTTGAACTTGTTTTCCGTAACTTTTTGTATTTCCCTCTCACACTGTAGGTATAAATTACTAAGGTATTCTAAAGAACGTCAGTACATCGACGGGTTGAACAATTTACTATACACTCCAAAAATACTGGTTGATAGGTTGTATACAAATATATCTGTAAACCTCATGCCAGAGTTAGCTCCAATTGAAGACTATTAGAAGTAGCTCTGTGGTGAGACAGACCACAGTGCTGGACCAGAAACCTGGAGTCCACTCATGATGGAGGTCAGTGATTTGATGTGTCTCAGTGTCCTGATTGTGGAAAAGAGCCAGTGTCCTTCGTGTTTACAGTGTGGGATTAAATCCAGCCACCCTTCTCCTGCCCACCCCCCCACCTTTGAGACGCATCCCATGAGGAGCACTGCAGAAACTGGAAGCCGTTGCTGAAGATTGAAGTTAAGAGGGATCACTACAAAGAGAAAATTTTTATACTAAAATCTATAGTTTAATTCAAGAGAATGCTTTTATTTCCATTTAAACCTATTTTGTACATATGTGATGTAAATTAATGTGTTCAAATTGTTTAAAAATAAGATGTGTTACAGTTTTGCATGTAATCAGTTATGCCTTTATTGGACTTTTATAGATATTTTTAAATTTGCATGGGGAAAAAAACCTGTAAATTTATGTCACTAAACAAAGGTTATCCCTTGTGTGAAATGAAGGAACTGTCAATAATTGACAACAAACGAATACAGTAAACTATTATACTAGTTTTCAGCTTTAGACCTTCAGCCTCACATGTGGAAGAAGTCATGGCTTCTGAAGGCTTTAAAGGGAAAAATACTCAAATGGTTTTTCTTCCTGCCAGAATTACCTTTTTTCCTTGCTTGCAGTCTCATCAGATCTTGCTAAATAACAACCATATTGTTTATGCATATTGCATGAATGTTACCAAGAAATCTTAAAAGTTGTGATGTGACATGATATAAAGGACCTCTTTATGTTAAATATCTTTCATGTACCTCTGGTGTAAGTGTCAGGGATTTTGTGCCTCTAAAAATGTTCCCAAGAATGTGTGTTTATACACTGTGTGTTTTTTTTAAATTCATAGTATATAGCACTTTTATTATTTCCAGTTCAGAAGAGCCAAAAAAAAAATTAAAAGGTTAATTTTTTTCTTTTTTAAAGGAATGAGCTATGAAAAACCCAGTAGTACTTATACAAATTAATTATACTATTAGATAAATTAAAATGTTCTATTTTTATGAATATAAATGCTTAGTAAAGACAGATTTTAAGTTTAAATCACTTTTGAAAGGGACCCTTTTAATATCAGCAGTTAAAGTCAAATTATATTTTTTCCACTTTCAAGAAATCTTTGATGTTATTAAAATTTCCTCACTAAAAGTATAGTTCAGTAGAACTATCTTAAAATACATTTTCAGTTATTTAAATACACTATAATATATACTTCGGAAAACAGGTCTTGTTTCCTGACAAGTATTTTTATCTTAAAATTGGATAAAATTTTCTGAGGCAAACCAAACAACATTCTTAGTTTGAAAAGTATTAGAAAAATCCTTTAAAATATTTTACAATATTTTCACAGATGAAAAACAAAAAAAAGTGAACCTGCAACAATGAAGAGTAATAGAATTCTATATATATGAGAAATGTTTGGGTAAAATTTGCCTATGAATTATTCACCTAAAACAGAAATATGTGTGTGTGTGTGTGTGTGTGTGTGTGTGTGTGTGTGTTTTTAATCTCAGGTTGTAAGTTTAATTTTGAAGTGTCATTTTTTGTGGCAGTTTCAGTAACAGAAATGATCATAAACCAAATTATAAAATAATTGAAAATCTTATAGTTTGAAAAACCTTACAGCCTCTCTTTATGATGCCAAACTGAATTTTTTCATATTTATTTCTTAGAAATATTTCTAAAACATTTCTTTCTTGGGGGTGATGCTCAAAATAATAAAAAAAAATCAAACCTTCTGAAAATGAAGTCATTTGTACTTAAGTTGTGTATCTGTTCATTTTGTCTCTCATTGCCAGCATAGTTTCTTAACTCAATGAAATGAAAATAATATGATAATGTTCACGTTTGTGGACCACTAGCAAAATACAAAGATCTTGGGAACATAATTAACCCAATAATGCTGAAATATTTTAGTTGTGGGAAAAACTAATTAGTCTTTTAAGGAAATACATTTTTGGTTTTAATGAAGAATTTGCCTGCATTTGGAATCCTTTTGTTTTGATATACATTTTACTTTTTTGAGAACTCAGTACTACTAGTATCTGCCTTATTATTATTTTAGGAGTTGAATGTAAGTATTTTGCTTTTTTGCAGTTTTGAATATGGTATATTATCCTGTGGAAATCATAAAAAATTTTTAGTACATATCTAAAATTATTTTGGCTGTAAACAGTAATATTTATATGTTTCTGTAAATGACAGGTTTTTTTCCCGGTTATCTTTATTATATGACAGAAAATCTATTCCCTAAAGACTAAAAAATACACTGCAACTGCAAACAGTCTTCTTTATAGTATATTTAGTGGATTTATTAATGAATGTGTATTGATCATCTCCTGTATCAGGTGCAATGCTGGCGTGTCTGTTTAAAAGTATTATTTCATTTCTAAACAAATCAAGTCACGGAAGTTGAACTCTTTCTGAAATCATGAAGTCATCCCCTGATAGTTAAGGTCTCTGTTGTAAACCTTATCTCAAAGTCAGTAGTCATCTATATGGATGTAGATCAGAAGTCCCTACTGGGGCTTCTGTAGTCCCTACAGAAGGCACTACTGGGGACTTTGGTGTCTTTCAGTTTGAGAAAGAAGTAATGATTAAAGAGCCCGTTTGTAGAAAAGAAAAGAGAAAATGTACACGCATTTCTTGTACATTGTGTCTGATTCACAGTGAAGATAGTCCTTCAGTTCTTCACCCAAAGTAGGGTTCAATGAGGATTTTTTTTTTTAAAAAATCTTAATTTGTATTTTGTGAAAAGGTTTTCAGTAGGAAAACCTTAGTTATAATATTACATAAATATAAAATTATGTGTTACAAACTTACACTTTTATTAGCCAAGATACTGACCCCATTTTAAAGCAAAATGGGAAAATATCCAATATAATATTCTCCTGGATGCTCCCTACAAGCAAAAGCACATTTTGTGTCACTTTATTTGGCCTTGGCTTGTCTTGTTACATTTAGTTATGTGACTTTCAGACTAATAGGCCTCTAGATTTATTGTTTTGGATTTGCAAGTATGCCAGCTGAGAACTAAAATGTTCATACTGTTGTTTATCAGAAAGAGGAAGTGTACTTAAGATTATTTTGTTAAGAAAGGCTTCTACATAAATGCTCTGAAATAAATGCTAGTAATTTCTTGTATTCCTCATTTTCTTCATTTTGCTTCTCGTGGAAATGTTTGTACTTTTTTATCATTGTCTTTTATGAAATATAATGTTCTAAAGATTTTGTGTGATGATGTAATTATTTTCTCTCAGGAACCCTTTTTGGGTTACCTGGGGGTTTTTGTTTATTTTCATGTTTCAAATCGAATTACTGATGATGATCTTGACTGACCTTAGAGTTGCAGCGTAAGCATGAGGCAGTCATAGCTGAAATGCATTTTGCGATCATCTTACAGTTTCTGCCTCAAAAAAGATGCGATCATATTTAAATATTTTTCATTAATTCATTTGGTAAATCTGCTGCATCAATTCAATAATTTCAAGAATTCAATATTAGCATAGTGTTTCTTCTCCCTGTGCAACTTCACAAACGTAAGCTGATGTGTTAGGGAAAATTTGTTTGTTTTTTAGGTGTCAGGCAGTTTTGGAGATATTAAAGCCAAACAGTCAAGTTTCTCAAATACCATGGGACTAGACTGTGAGATCGACTTATTGTTTGTATAATGAATTATAAGTATGATTAATTTTATGCATAAGTATGATTTACAAAGACATTGTCATTGTATCACAAATAAAGGCAGTCATTAAATCATAAGCATTTAATCACTTAAATCATTTAAAATCATAAAATCTAATTAGGTTAGTCTGCCCTAGGTTCCCACCTGTGATATTAATGTGTCCCTCTGATGAAATGGGTTATCTCAGTTTCAGAGCCATATACATACATATTTGGGGTGCTATCTTTAAACTCGTTTATGTAGACATATGCATCAAGTGGTTTTATTTAGGAAAGACTAGTCTTAAGAAATGTCCTCTTGATTTAAATACTTGGAGAAAAAAATAACATTGTTTGACTATGCTACAATTAAAATATAGTACACGGTTTAAAATATAAAATTTGGATCAGCACATTCTTATGTTGAGGTACTCGAATTCAATTGCTAATATAATCTTTCCAGTTTGATCAGTTTAAATATGTGCTCTGAAAGATCTTGTATCAGACCTTGAGGTCTTCTGTGTGCAATGTGGGGCAGAAACCCCTGAAGAACCCCATGCCGTCTAATGAGACGCTTGCTTAGGAACTTTGTGAACACTAATTTTTCTCTTTCACGAATGCAGTGTTGGTTTGTTGTGCACCTTTATGGGAGCATCTTTTCTCTGTGCACATAATATTTCTCAGCTGTAAACACTCTTCAGAACGATATTTGAAATAATCTATAGCTAAGAAGCTTAACAATGTGCAGTAAACTTTTAGGAGGGCTCTTTGGATGGTGAAAGTTGTAAGAAAAGACTTTGAAATCAGACTGACCTGATTTGGGGCTCAGGTATCCCTGTCATTAGTACATTTCTAATGCTGTGTGGTCCTCAGGTCCCTGCTTCCTGAATTGAGAATAATAGTACCTACTGGCCAGTCATTGGCATGGTTAGATAAGCTAACCAGGACAGGACACTAGTACAGTGCTTGGGCAACTGAGCAGTTTCTATTTTTACATTAAAAACCTTTCTCATACAGGTTGTTCTGAATCATATTTAAAGAATGATAACTGAATTCTTATTTGTGTGCATGTGTGTTGTTTTGTTTTTGTTTTTTTGAAGCAGGGTCTCACTATGTAGTCCAGACTGAACTTGAACTCTATGTAGCCCAGGCTGGCCCTGAACTTGCAGTGATCCTTCTTCCTCAGCCTTCTGAGTGCTATGATTGACAGGTGTGTACCACCATGCCCAGCTGATACTGCATTCTTTAATAATATTAGGACAGTCAGTGATTATATGTAGTTATGTGAACAGAACCGGCAAAGATGTACAGTAGAAATTTCAGCAATAGATCATGATGAGGCTGTATCCTCAGAGGACGGAGGACTGTAGGAAGATAACATGGAAAGCCTATTTTACAGTACTTAGTACATAGGAGGTATCTAGTTACTCACTGCCCCTCTGTGTCACAGCTGAAGAAATTAAATGTCCTTGTGTGCCTGAGCTTCTGCTTCTTTTAGGCTTATCTTTTCCCCCATTCTCAGTTTTCTTGGAAGGTCTATCTTCCTTCCCCTCTGTTCTTTCCACCCCACCACATCCCCATCTTTTTTTTTTTTTTTTTTGAGACAGGGTCTCACTATGTAGTTGAGACTGACCTGGATCTCACCATGAAGCCCAGGCTGGTCTCAAACTCACAGTGATCCTCCTGCCTCAGCCTCCTGAATACTGGGATTACAGGCATGAGCCACCACGCCCGGCACATCCCATCTTTTGACCAACACTTTCTGACAATGTCCAGTAGAGCATCCTGTGACAATAAACATGCTCCTAATCTCTGCTGCCCAGGGAGCAGTCACTGTCCTCATGGGGCTCTTACACAATTAAAATGTGATTGGTATTGATGAGGAACTGGGTTTACCGTATTTAACCAAGTTCACAGCCAATGCAGAAGGTGATCTGTCATACTTCAATGCGTTGGCTGCAGGGGACCACCCCTACTCCCGACTCCCAAGCTTAAACCTTGAGCTCAGATCTCTTTTTAATTCCTGACCCATTTTATCAATTTATTGGTTACCCCTACCTATTAGTTCACAGAAACCCCAAACTTAACTTTATCCTGAGCTAGATTTATCATGCTCCCCTTCAAAGCCTAGTCTGCCTCCCTGTTTCCCTGTCCACTTAGTAACCCATAGGACAAATTCATAAGTCATTCCTCTGAATTTTTCCCTCTGTACAGTCAGCATTAACTCTGCTTCACTTCTCCAACCCATCTGGTCTCTTGTTGCCTCTAAAACTGCCTGGATTGGCCAGGTCCTCTCTATTATGCAAGGCTTTTTCTTTGAATCCACCTTCTAGGTTTCAACAGAAATTGGGTGTGTCTCTGTCTCAATCCCCCAACTGGGGATTGAACCCATATCCTTCACAGGGAGCTGCATTCCTGCCCACTCCACCACCCTTTTAAAGGACCTTTTGAAACAGGTTCTAAGTCACTAAATTTCCCAGGGTAGGCTTAAACTTGCAATCCTGCCTCATCCTCCCAGAGTGCTGAATTACAGGCATGCATCACTATGTCTGGCTAAAAATGGTGTCTTTTAAAGCAATACCTTGCTTAAAGTCTTCCACTGGCTCCCCATTGCCTACAGATAATGTCTGAGTATTTCTGCTCTGCACACCAGACCGTAATGATCTGACTTCTGTCTGCCCCAGGACTCGCCTCTTGTTCCCGCCTTTCCCTTCATTCTCTCACCACCTCCAGGGACCTGTGTCCTACGCTTGCCTTCACACACCCTCTTCTTCACCCAGTGAGCTCCTCTGGAAGCCTTTCCTGGCCAATTTAAGGAAAATTTATTACTTACACCTCTTGCCCTAACATACAAAAATCTTATGAAAGCATGGCTTACATAGTTCAGTTTATATGATTGTTGGGTTTTCTTTCCTCCTAAAGACTTACCTCTCTAAGAATAGTGGATTCTAACTCATTTTTGTATTGCTAGCATTGAAGGAGCATAATTTGCAATTAATAAGTTCACACATTCTAAATTACTATTCCATTAACACACACACCTCATACCTGTTGGGTTTTGTTAATTAGGATCAATGTCTTGACTAAAGACCATCATGAAAGTCTGTTGACAGCTACAAATACACCTGACTAGAGAGCTGGATTCTTACATTCAACATACTAAAAATTTTTTTTATTAGGCTAAGACTGAGAGATTGGCATTTTTATTTTATTTATTTATTTTTTTTTTATTTTTTGGTACTGGGGATTGAACTCGGGTCCTTGCGCTTGCAAGGCAGGCCACCGAACCGCTGAGCTAAATCACCAGCCCCAGAGATTGACATTTTTGAAATCTATAACTTATTTAATTTTAAAACATAAGAAGTAAAGTCATCCTTCCCATGTGTTACTATTTTGATAGAAGAGTCTCAAAATGGGTGCTGAAACCACCCACCTGTTTATAGCTTATCAGAGGGAAAGTGTTTATTTACCTCTGGAAAATAACTGACTTCTGAGGTAGTGTTTATATGTATCCAGTTTCCAGGGATTATTCTAACATTGTTTGACACAGTTTTCCCTCTCATCTGCCCCTCCATCTGCTTTTCTCTCCCTCTTACACTATCTTTATAGGAATCAGAAAAATAGTGACTTAATTTTCCTGTAGTCTTCATGAAATCCCAAGTGCTTTTGTTCAGGTAGAGAAACCAGATAACCTGGTTTCCTCTTTGTTACTTGCTTTTCCCTTAATGTTGTGTGAGTGTTGTTTGGGATACACTGGTCATGCAATCTTTCAGCTTGTTGAGTAAACTAGAAACCTGTTCTCTTGACTCTCTAATCCCAATTTTTTATTTTTAGCATTTATTAACAGCCTACTATGTAGGAACTGTGCTGTGCTCTGTGGGTGTGGGGGTGAATGAGGCACAGTTTTTCTTCCAGTAGCCTACACCCAACTATTTGGAACCAAGTACTTGCCAAGGATTTCAACAGAGCCAAATCCCTTTGTCCTCAAAATATTTTGTACTTGACTTGGAAACTTGATGGGAAAATGGACAAGAATTTTGGCCAGGTGACATAAAAAGTAGAGAAATTCCGAGTCCCTGTAGGGGGTGTAGGCGGTGTAGGGGGTGAGACCTCCCCAGTTCTTGTCAAAGGGAGTTGGGTAAGATGTGTCATGGCTTGGTTTTGGTGCTCTTTCTAGAACAGACATGGTTAAAAGGCAACTGCCTGTTGAACTGCTCTTTTCTACTTATTTTTTATTTTATTTTATTTTATTTTATTTTTGGTTTTTTTGAGACAGGGTCTCACTATGGTGGAGACTGTCCTGGAACTCACCATGTAACCCAGGCTGGTCTCGAACTCACAGCGATCCTCCTGCCTCAACCTCCTGAGTGCTGGGATTACAGGTATGTGGCACCACACCCGGCACTCTTTTCTACTTATTAAGTGCAGAAAGCCTATTTTTCTTGGGTCAGTTTTTACATTTATTTATTTTTGGAAAATCATGGGAGGAGTAATACACTTATCTCATCTTCAGTTGACATAAAATGCCACATAAAAAGGAACTGTTCTACATCTAGACTGTATCAATGACAATGACATTAGACCACAATTTTGCAGCATGTCATCATGGGGAGGAGGACTACATAAAGTGTATACAAAATGTCCTTATATTATTTTATTTTGTGGTGCCAGGAATCGAACCCAGGGCCTCATGAATACTCAGCAAGTGCTCTACCACTGAGCTGCACCCTCAGCCCTCTGTTGCTTCTTAACAACTGCATGTGAATCTATGATCTCATAAATTTTAAAGATTGAAAAAGGTAAATGGTGCTATAAGAAAGATGACCAACCCCACTCAAGCAATAATGATTACAGTTGCTCTAAAATACCAATGTTGTCTTGTCAGATTGGCAAAAACCCAGATGTTTTATAGTGTGACGGGACTGTAGAGAATTAGTCCCTGGCCAGCATCACTGGTAGCTTGGCAAATGTCACTACCTCTGCCAAGGGAACTTTGCAGTATCCCAGAACTCTTTTTATAGGGTTGTATCTAAAGAGATGCCTCTACAGATCTGAAGTCACTCACACAGCAGAGCCCT